GAGTGTCACATAACAGCAGAGGCATTGTGTTTTGTGGTTTTCAACTCATACCTGCATGTAATTTCAATTACCTTTCAACCCATCAATACTTACAAATACAGGAAGCTGCTTTATGATGAGTCAACTCCATTGGTCTATCTAGTCCAATATTGTCAACTCTGACTGCTTTGTGATCTTCAGGGATTTCTAACAGGATTTATTTCTAGCTCTGCCCAGAAATCTCTAGTTACACAATGAAGCCCGTCAATAGGGCCTCTACAGATGGCCTCTTTGGACCATCCTGGAGGCAGAGGTAGCCTGGAGGCTACAGATGGCCATGAGGATATCTTGACATCACACGCCATTACACATGGCGCACGGCATCAGACCACCCTCCTGGCGCATCGTCTTGACGCGCTGTGCCGGAAGGGGCACATAAGAGCCACGCAGCGGCTCTTAGGGCGCCCTATTTGCTGGCTCTGAAAGGAGAGGCATATTGCCGCTCCTTTCAGGACCAGAAACAGGGAGGATTGAGGCTGAGGCGTGGGGCAGCCTCAGCCCCAATCCTTCCCATGGCGTCCCAGGGCCACCCATCTGCATCCCCCCAATAGTCTGCAGATTCACGCTCCCATGGATTTCCCTGCCTCATTATTGTCAGTGGTGGCACATGCACACAGCTACACCAATGCAGCAGCTCACAAGTCTCTGGCCACTTACTATAATGGGGCTTCAGCTTACAGGGTTTTTCTTATCCACATGGAGGAGAGGGGCAAAACTGAAGCAGTGAATGGGAAGGGCACACTGTACTAGCTGGATGGACTCCAACTCAACCCTGCTTAGTTTACAAAAGATTCCACTTGGTGCCTTTGAAACTATGCAATTATAGCACTACAACTTCACTTTATAATTGCCATGGCTGTATCCTTTGGAATCCTGGGGTTTCTAGTTTGGGAAGACACTAAGGCCCTCTGGCTGAGAATTCTAATTACCACTTTCTAAATTGCCAAATCCAGAACTCCAAAATATAGGAACATGGCAGTTAAAGTGAAATCATACTGTCATAACTGTGTAGTGTGAAAAGGCCCCAGGTGTGTTGAGGGAGATATTGTAGAATGTCTCCTTGCACTAAAATCCACCAGTTACGGTAAGGGTGGGGAATTTGTGGTTTTCCAGACTTTACTGAACTCCTAATCCTAGCATAGCTGACCCTTAGTCATGGTGTGGTTGTATGCACAGTGCGCAGCATCAGGACATCCTCCCGGCGCAGTGTGCAGACACGCTGCGGCAAAAGGGCGCAGAAGAGCCGCGGCGCTGGCTCTTAGGGTGGCCTTTTGCCGCCCCTAAAAGGAGTGACAAAGAGCAGCAGCAGCAAAAGGAAGGATCGAGGCCGTGGCGTTTGGTTGCTGCCTTCCTGAAATGTGAGCAGTTTGAGACTAAAAGGTTTGAAAAGCAACTCCATAGATGAGACAGACCCCTGATCAGCACCAAGATTTTATGGTGGGAATTCAAAACTAAATGATCAGTTTGTTTCATTTTCCAGTAAAGTTGGACACATAATCATTTTTCAATGATTTTGATGGTACAGGGAAAAAATGTCAATATTCCAAGCTAACAAGGTATAAAAAAAAAAAGTCCTGAAGGCTTTTTTTATCTCATTTCAAAAACATAATCACTTCCTAACATATTTCCTGTTCTTGATACAGTGTTCTGATGTAGCCACTGAATACACAGAAGAGAAACAAAAATATCCTGCTCAATTCCGTTAATGAATTTCCTTTACATGCAAGCAAGTGAAAGAAGTATGCATTAGAAAAATTGTAACTGTAACAATGTGAAACCAGTAAAGCAAGACCATGAAGTATCAAATACTAACCATCTCATACTAGTGATACAATTGTTCAAATAACCTTTCAAATAAACTTCTATCTATGTTTCAACAAAGACTTGCCTGGAACTTTAATAAAGAAACACACTACCAACATTTAAAAAGATAGTTTGGGTTAATCCACTAAGAAAGGTACAAAAGTGAATCAGTTTCACCCTTAAGTGGCAGGTGGGATAAAAAGGCCCAAGTTGCTGCCATCCATAAGAAAATAGTTAGACAAAAGTAAAGTGATCGTCACAATCTCAAATTTTTAAACGATAGCCAGAAAAATGGATTTGCACAGACTAAAAGACTGAGCAGATAAATGATGATTTAGAAAAGACACCCACCACCAAGCTTAAACGGAAAGTGATCTGAACTATGACAGGTTCATCTGCCTAACTGATTACGTCATGCTGGCTGAGAGATTTTGGAAGATGCTATCCAAAAAAGTAACTTTTCTAAGCTCTGATTAAGGGTAGATACCTCTGTGGGGGCTGCTTTAATCTTTTGTCCTTCTCAAAAAAGTTGGGCTAGCTCCACTTAATAAAACAAAAAGGACTGGGACACCATGGCAGGATTACAAATGAATAAAGACACCAGGCATCCTTCCAGTGGTATGTGTATGAAGAGAGCATGGTGATTCCATATTAATCTTCACCAGGAAATAGCCTGAGGGACAAAACACACTGCCAAAAATGGTGGATTGGGGATGCCGCAGAGCCACATGCTGCAGCCCCAATGCGCCTTTTTGCTGGCCCAAAAAGAAGTGGCAAATTGCTGCTCCTTTTTGTGTCGGCAAAAAGCTTGCTTTTTCACCCTGCCACAGCTGGAAGCCAGCTTCATGATGCTGTGACGGTGTGCAGTGTATAAACGCCACACTGCCAGAGCGTCATGAAGCCACCCGTGTAAACAGTCAGGCAGCTTCCTGCTGGCTTGGGGCATGCAGTGTCTAAACGCCATGCCCCCAAACCTCTGGGAAGCCTGCACAAAGGGGCAGTCTGTTTCGCCCTTGAGACTTGAATCATCCAATGGTTTCTGAGTGCAGAACATTCAAGGTAGGAAAACAGAGGTCTCAGGAAAGGAAGAAACTATGCTTCTTTGGTCCTGAACGTACACAATTGCCTCCGATGAAAAATACACTTGGCCATTAGGTCAAACTGTGGTGGACACTTTGCAACTTTTGGGCTGCATGGGGCCTTCACTAGACCCCATCCATCCACCCCATACAATCCCCCCCCAAATTACTGAACAAAAATTAACCCACCCACCCCAAATCAGACACAGAAACTCTGGGGCACTTAAAAATGCTCTTTCAAGAAGTTCCCACCCCAAAACAGCAGAAAACAACCCCAAAAATGGCATTTTGTAATATAATTTCTGGTTATTCAAACCAGAGTACTCTGCCCTTCCAGGACAGCCAAAAATCAGGTAGTGCAGCCCCTTGGAATCCAGAGTATGCCCACCTCTGGGTTAGATGCAGTGAAAGGGAGTTTAAAATCAATTAGCAAGCCCCATGTAAGTATTCTGAGACTGTGCTCATGGAAGGACTGCATGTCAACATATAATGGTTCAGCCTCCTCCTCTCCAACCTTCCCATTGAGCAGGAACACCTGAAGAGAAATTGTAGGCACCTTCAGTTAAACACTGTTACAGTTCCCACTTTTGGAAACTTATGCGATCAGAATTAAAGATCACAAGAAAGGCTGTAATGTAATCATTTTCAGCCAGATGTGTTTCGAATTACTCTTGAGCATTTCACACTCAACTTGGGAAAGCCAGAACAGAAAGCTCCATGGCTGTTCCACAGATACAATGTCAGAATACATAAACAGAGAATACAGGCCAAGTGTTATCAATGGCACACTAGCCATGTTAACTAAATGGGATCTCCAACATAATTCTGAATACAAGATGCTGAAAGATACCAGCAGCGGAAACACTTCTTTTAATAATTTCAAGTTTTTTGGAAGCATCTGGAGGTCCAACATTAGAAATGAAACTATTTATTGATCTCATGTTCCGTTTCCCCATGAATTTTCCCATGTTTTCTGTTTGAGAGAAGTGGGTTACATACTTCTCTATCTAATTATCTAAAACAAAGCAAAGCAAAGCAGCTTCATTTATATATCTAACAGTGTATCTAGCTAATAGTGACACTTGTAACATCTGTACAAAAGCTTCAAGGAAGCAAAGCTACTTTAAAATAAGCCCTGAGAAAAGATATGATGATAACAGTAGACACAGAATGTGTGATGGCAGAAAAGCAAAGCAGTTTGCTTGTGTAAAGCATATTGCAAATAGACAAATGACAGAAATTGGTGAGAAAATTTCAAATGGGTAAACTTAACAAGTTTATTAACAGCTTCCAAAGATTCATTACTGGGAATTTGATGTTTTTAATTTGTTTCCTTTTTTGTATTAATATGTATTATTTTATTATTTTATAGAATGTACGCCATTGGCAGGCTTTCTTTATCTATTTGTACCTATTTTACTGATTGTATGTACAGAACTATATAAATAAAACATTATTATTATTATTATTATTATTCAGGCATTTCAAACTGAACAGTAACAGAAATATATGTAATGTCTGCACTCATAAAAAAACTCTAGCAGAACAACACTTAATTCGCTGTCGATCACAGGATATAAATAAATCCATATGTAACAAAACTTGTTCAAAATTTTAAAAAGATACTTACATTATTCTTCTGGCAAATAATTTCCTAAAAAGAAAAAAGATAACTTTGAATTTTAAGAACCAGTCTTAAATAACTTAAGCATGCATTTATACTTAATAAATATGTTTGCCCTTAGAATTTTACATTTCCTTTACTAATTAACTTTGACAAGAGATAAGGACATGGAGGGTGTGATGTTGGTCCCTCAATGGAAGGGATGAAGTTACTCTAAATTTACAGGACCTTTTTCTGTGGTTTTAACAGAAGACAGCCACAGAAATTAAGCAAAAAAAAAAAGCTTTTCCATGCATGGCGATAAAATAATGAGAAAAACTAAATGCTTCTAATTTATTTATGACAGTATGTTGTTACAAGCGCTAGAATAAAGACAAAGAAAGAAGAAAAGAAAAAAGTAGCAACCCTAAATAAAAAAAATGTCAGGGGGATTACCAATTCCTGTTATTAAGACAGTCAATATGGTATAGTGGTATGAGTTTGGACTACAACTCTGGAAACCAGGGTTCGAATCCCTGCTCAGCCATGGAAACCCACTGGATGACCTTGGGCAAATGACTCTCTTAGCCTCAGAGGAATGTAAAGGCCACCCCCAAACACATCTTGCAAAGAAAACCCTGTGATAGGGTCTCTGTAAGTCAAAAACTATTTGAAGGCACACAACAACATACGCAGTATACCACTGATGTGGATTAATGAACATGTAATTTGCTAACCAACCATTTGCACAGCCATTCCCATTATATATGCTGGCATTTTTCCTTACAGAGTTGTCAGACAAACATCGTGTTATTGTTCCACCACTGATTCCTTTCCCAACCAATTCACAAAATGGTATGCCATGGGCACAAATATAAATACAGTCGGTCCTCTGTTTTCATGGGGGATCCATTCTGGACTCCCTGTAAAAACTGAGATTTGCCAATATTTAAGAACCATAGGCTTGAATGAGGCACACCCCATTGATTTTAGTGGAGGTTGCCCCTCAGTGAAGATATAAAACCATGGACTTCAAGCCCATGAGAACAGAGGAGTGACTATATAATGAAAAGGGAGGAGGTGAAATCCATATCCCTAATGGACCAACTCTTCATACCTGAGACAATTCTTACTTAATGTTTTAAGACTACATTAAAGATATAATTATGGAAAAGTTTATATTCATCAAGTTTTCATTGCATGGTGTTCTTCATATTTTTGCATGTCCAGTGTTTCTCTACTGTCCTTTGCACTTTTATGATTCAGAAGAGCAACAAGAAAACAGTGGGGACAAAAAAAGGTGAGACTCAAGTGCTCAAGGCACTTGCTGGAAAGTGACAGCTTTCCCCACCCCCCAAAAGTTCATTTAATATAAGTTCACAGAGAACCAGCATGGTGTAGTGGTTTGTGTTAGACTGTGACTCTGGAGAGCAGGGTTTGAATTTCCTCTTGGCCATGAAACCCACTGGTCATATGCTCTCAGCCTTAGGGGAAGGCATTGGCAAACCTCATCTGAATCCTGCCAAGAAACCCCTGTGATAGGTGATACAGTTGCCTTAGGGTTGGAAATGACTTGAAGGTACACAACAGCAACAGCATAGGCCAATCACTTTATCAGAGCATAACGCATCTCACATGGTTGTTGTGAGGATAAAAATGGAAATGAGAAGTCATGGGGGGAGGGGGAAGCAGGCCTTAAGTGTACAAAAAAATAATATACATAAATATGATTGAATTTTTACACTTAACATGCTCTGGTCCATCATGTAGTTAAGCTTTTCTTGCTGAAATGCTTTTGTGGTCAAAATCTAGTTGAAGGGGATTTCTCCTGAGGTTCAAAGAGGCTACAGGATGCTGGGCAGGGAAATGGCAATTTTTTTCATAATGCTAATCAGATTGCTTTAGCATCTGAGTCTGTTTTACTACCAGCACCACCTTCATAATGAATCTTTGAAACCTTTACCAGCTATTAGAACACCATGATGACAGATAATATTGAGAACTGTGTAGGCATGGAGAGGCTTACCACAATGCAAACATCCATTTCTCTGAATGATCCTCAGGAAACCCTCCCCCAGCCCACACATTGAACCCTTTTTCATTCTATGAAGGCCTCTGTTACCTTCAGCGATTGCAGAGAGTCTGCATTTGTATCACAGTAGAGAATTATGTTGTTGGCCATGCTGAAGCTCTCTCGGACTCCTAGGTGATAAAACAGGGAAGGCTGACGGAAAGCATCACTCATTTCCACCACTGCAATATCTACAAGAAAAGAACAAAACACATACTTGTCAGATCTACTGTTGGTGCTCAAAATAAATTTTCAATTGACTTGTCGAATTTTCTCAACATCCATCAAAGACAGCTGGTACCCCAGAAAAGAGAAATTATTAAAGAAACCAGTTCCAAGCACCATTGACTAATGCTCTTGCAACACTTCTGCAACAGGAAGATAGTATTTATACTGCTTGTGTTCATAAAGATGGTACTTTAGACTGTGGAAGGGGAGGGATTTCCCCTTATAAACACAGAGTGGGAAAAAGAACATTGAGTATATAATCCTCTGATAGTTGTTCTTTGCAGCAAGCCCAGCAGTGAGTTTATACCAACAATTCCAATCTAAGATTTTGTGCTTAATGGGTCAGTCTTTGAAACAGATGTCACACAAAATAACATGGAACATGTCACTACCACAACAAAATGGCACAGCACTATGTACCAGTTGAAACTTTCCCTTTATGGGTTCATAAAACTCCTGGTTGCTCAGGCATTTGACTCAAGAAAAATCACACCGGGCCTTTGCAGACTGCTAGAAATAGTACAAATTGAGTCCACTTTAACTGCCCTGGCTCAATGCATGGGAATTGTATTTTTTTCTGAGACATTGAGCCTTCTCTGTCAGAGAGCTCTCGTGCCACAATAAACTAGTTCCCATGATTCCCTAGCACTGAGTCAGAGCAGTTAAAGTGGACTCAATTTGCACTATTTCTGGCAGTCTGCAAAGGCCCACAGTTACCCAGATACCGTATTACATTTCCATAAAGGCTCCACATGATATAGTCAAATCACTTTCAAAGCCTTTCTGCATCAGTGGCTCTACTACAGACCACTGAGTACTATGGAAAATTCTGTGACAGACAGACTGAACTCCTAGAGTGCAGATTAGGCTTTTTGGTCACAGCCACCACCTCCTCCTACACAAAAACACCACACTGCAGGGTAAGATCAGCAGCACTGTTAAGCAGTCTTTCAATGCAACCTGTGTGCCATCTTTAGGAAATCTGATGATCTTTCAACAAGGGATTTTAGATTTCATTGTTCCTTTTCAGAGGATTTTCTTATGGACTTTACACAAATAGTCATCTGGGAGATCTGGAATGTTTTCTCTACTGCCATCAATAAAAACAAAATCTATTAACTATACAGCTCGGAAACACAGGCCTGTTTTCTGGAATACTGTACTTTTAATTATCTTAAAATCTATTTGGTGACCTGATCACTTACACCATCTATATATGTGGCAACTGCAAGGGATGTGGCAAGAATAATATCAAGGGCTAAGAAAATGTAATGATTTTACTGCCAAAACAATATTCTAGATTTCATGTTTACAACACATGTTTATTGTTAAGAATTTTGGTATGTAAATTGCAAAGTTCTCTGAAAGGTAGCAAATTCATGATCCACAGATGTCAGTATCTGATCAGATAGCTAATCTACATACTTCTGCAATTAATAGTGTCAGTACCTTATTAACAGTACTAACAAATATACACTCAAAATTTATTCCCTATTTGATACTTAATATCCACAAATTCTTGACAGCAACAAACTAGCTAATATGCTACATGCACAGACCTAACCAAATGGCACAAATTCTGGAGGCTGTTCTGTTCTTCTCTTCTTAACTGTATTATAAAGCTCCCCACAAATTCCAAGCATGACAATATGACACAGGAATTAGATGCCATTAAAACAAAAATGTTCCCTCTCTTTTATGGCAGAGGTTAGTGCCAAAGGATGCTGTCTGTCTCTAGATGGCTGAATCAGTGCATGTGGGAAATGTGGATAAAAAAGGATAAATATGTCAAATCTCAAGGGGCACAAAACTCTTTAACATTCTTTAATCCAGCAGGGAAGTTTCAACAAAGTGTGAAACTAAGTCATAACAACTGACATGATATTTAAAATGTAAGGCTTTCATCATATATCCCTTCTTTTAATTAGCAGCTATCTAAATTAATTCGGCCACAACATTTACATGCTATTTTCTTGAGATATTGTTTTGTTTTGCTTATTTCTGGATGTTTCTCAGTACAAATCATGCAAAGGCAAGCCCAGATGCGGACAAAGAAATTACAACAGTGTTAAAGGCAGGGGTAGGCAACCTTTCCCCTTTAAGTGCCGAGGGACTTCAGCTCCCAGAAGCCTCAGCCATGTTGGCCAATAGTCCCATGTTGGCCAATAGCTCCTGGTGTTCTGGGAGCTGAAGTCCCTCAGCCCTTAAAGGGGAAAGGTTGCCTATCCCTGGTTAAAGGATTGCTTTAAAAAGAACTGTAGTCAGACTGTAATGTGTAATATAAAGCTGTGTATTATATACACCAAGCCTAAATAACTGGGGGGAAAACAGATCTGTCTGATCATGGAAGCTAAGCATGGTCAGGTCTGGGTAGTATTGGAAAACACTGCAAGAGAAAATCAGGTATTGTAAAGGTTACCTTCAGAGGAATGCAAAGGCAGACCTCCTCTCAACAAACCTTGCCATGAAAATCGTATCATTCAGTTGTGGAAATTGATTTGAAGGCACATAACAACAATTATACAGACTGGGAAAGGTCACATTTAGATCTATCTATCTATCTATCTATCTATCTATCTATCTATCTAAATCTCAAGGCCATGTACAATAAAACCAACCTGACTAATTTAACATAGTGTAAAGAAGAAAATGATTTTAAAAGGCTAAACATATAGTTGTCCCTCTACTTTTTCAGGGGATCCGTTCTGGACCCCCACGACCCCCGAAAATGGAGATTCGCAAATATTCAAGTCCCATAGGTTTGAATGGGGCGCACCCCATTGATTTAAAGGTTGCCCCTCTGTGAATATGTAAAACCACGGACTTCAAGTCTGCGAGAATGGAGGAGCAAGTTGTTTGTGTACAGAAAAAATTAGTAAGTTTTAAATGACAGATTACAACTGGTTAAAATAGTTTAAAACTATTTAGAGGCATGCACATGTGAAAGTTTGTGTAAAACCAACTAGGCTCCAAAGGCTTCAATGAACGATCACGTTTTCATTTGAAGCTGGAATGGCAACATCATTAGTTCAGGAGAGCATTCAGTAATTGGGGTGCCATAGCAGGGAAAGATGTTCTGATAGAACACAGAAGAGGGCCCATCCTGCAGATCTCAGTTCTTGTGCAAACATATTACGGAAGCGGCACACCTTCAATAATAAATAAATAAATAAATAAAATCCAAGGACTGAGCTCTGTGGAGCTACTAGCACTTTGAGTTCAGATGGAAAGTATATTGGCACCACTGC